CTGCAATATCTTGTTATGGCAGCCCTAGCAAACTCACAGAGCTAGTGTAAGCACTGTACATGTATAATTTCATCAATTGCAGTGGGAGCATTCTTTTCTTTTTTTTTCTTTTCTTTTATTTTTTATTATACTTTAAATTCTGGGATACATGTGCAGAATGTGCCGGTTTGTTACATAGGTATACACGTGCCATGGTGGTTTGCTGCACCCATCAACCCATCATCTAGTAAATCTAGGGCAGACGTCTTGACTCCTTTTTCCCCTGTCAAATAAGGAAAGTTCTCTTATAACTTTTAATCACAATCCATCATCCAACCAGGACCTCCAGGTTGCCTAAAGCTATTCATTATCATTAATGATAATGAAATACCCATCATCATTAGGTATTTCTCCTAATGCTATCCCTCCTGACAGGCTCTGGTGTGTGATGTTCCCCTTCCTGTGTCCATGTGTTCTCATTGTTCAGCTCCCACTTATGAGTGAGAACACACAGTGTTTGGTTTTCCATTCCTGTGTTAGTTTGCTTAGAATGATGGTTTCCAGCTTCGTCTATGTCCCTGCAAAGGACATGAACTTATCCTTTTTTATGGCTGCATAGTATTCCATGGTACATATGTACCACGTTTTCTTTATCCAGTCTATCATTGATGTGCATTTGGGTTGGTTTCAAGTCTTTGCTATTGTGAACAGTGCTGTAATAAACATACGTGTGCATGTGTCTTTATAGTAGAATGATTTATAATCCTTTGGGTATATACCCAGTAATGGGATTGCTGAGTCAAATGCTATTTCTAGTTCTAGATCCTTGAGGAATTGCCACACTGTCTTCCACAATGGTTGAACTAATTTACACTCCCAAAAGTGTAAAAGCATTCCTATTTCTCCATATCCTCTCCAGCATCTGTTGTTTCCTGACTTTTTAATGATTGCCGTTCTAACTGGCATGAGATGATATCTCATAGTGGTTTTGATTTGCATTTCTCTAATGACCAGTGATGATGAGCTTTTTTTCATATGTTTGTTGGCTGCATAAATGTCTTCTTTTGAGAAGTGTCTGTTCATATCCTTTGCCCACTTTTTGATGGGGTTGTTTGTTTTTTTCTTATAAATTTGTTTAAGTTCCTTGTAAATTCTGGATATTAAACCTTTGTCAGATAGGTAGATTGCAAAAATTTTCTCCCATTCTGTACGTTGCCTGTTCTCTCTGATGATAGTTTCTTTTGCTGTGCAGAAGCTCTTTAGTTTAATTAGATCCCATTTGTCAATTTTGGCTTTTGTTGCCATTGCTTTTGGTGTTTTAGTCATGAAGTCTTTGCCCATGCCTATGGCCTGAATGGTATCGCCTAGGTTTTCTTCTAGGGTTTTTATGGTTCTAGGGCTTACATTTAAGTCTTTAATCCATCTTGAGTTAATTTTTGTATAAGGCGTAATGGTACGAGTCCAGTTTCAGTTTTCTGCATGTGGCTAGCCAGTTTTCCCAGCCCCAATTATCAAATAGGGAATTCTTTCCCCATTGCTTGTTTTTATCAGGTTTGTCAAAGAAAAAAATATGAAATGCTTCACGAATTTGCGTGTCATCCTTGCGCAGGGGCCATGCTAATCTTCTCTGTATCATTCCAATTTTAGCATATATGCTGCTGAAGCGAGCACGGGAGCATTATTTTCAGTGTAGAGTGGTTACAGTTTTGAACTGACTTCTTGGTTTGGTTCCTGGCTTCACCATGTATAGCTTGGACATCAAATGCAGATGATGACGGCAGTGGAGGTGGGGTTGGGAGTGGCGTGTGGTTGGTAGGGAGAGTTACTTAGAACTGAGGCAGGAGGCCGGGCGCAGTGGCTCACGCCTATAATCCCAGCACTTTGGGAGGCCGAGGCGGGTGGATCACCTGAGGTCAGGAGTTCGAGACCAGCCTGACCAACATGGAGAAACCCCATCTCTACTAAAAATACAAAATTAGCTGGGCCTGGTGGCACATGCCTATAATCCCAGCTACTAGGGAGGCTGAGGCAGGAGAATTGCTTGAACCTGGGAGGCGGAGGTTGCGGTGAGCCGAGATCGTGCCATTGCACTCCAACCTGGGCAACAAGAGTGAAATTCCGCCTCAAAAAAAAAAAAAAAAAAAAAAAAAAAAAAAAAAAGAACTGAGGCAGGATTAAGCCATACACTGTCTAAATTGCATGCCCTGGACTTGGTCTCTGAATGACATCCATGAGCGCTGTCATCCCTGGAAAACTTCTTTACTGGTTTTACCTGGATCCTGACCCAGATCTTTCTATAATTTGCCACTGAAGTGGTTTTTTTTTTTTTTTTTCTTTTTCTTTTTTCTCAGTAGCACCTGCCTGTGATGGCTGTGCATTGGTAAGTCCTAAACGTAGCCTGCATGCTCTGCTCTGCCGTCCTCAGCCCTCTGTCCCCTTCCCCAGCTGCCATGACCAACTTCCCTGTGCATAACAAGGTGTTAGTCATCAACTGGGTGCTGGGGTGAGGGAGGAAGAGTCAAATGGGATTGAACAGTGTTGAGTTGACGTGAGCAAAAAAGACACCACTAATGGAGGAAAAATGATATGTAAGATGATATTACACATGGCTTTTTAAAGCATAGGGGACTGGTGGTCAGTAAAGAACTGAATGCAGTCAGAATAAGAAGATCAAGTAACTTCACTGACTTTTAAAAAATACATACATTTTTAATAGTTTTCTTCATTTAAAAGTAACATTTATTTTAAGCAATTTAGAAAATTTCTCTCAGAGAAGTGAAAAGAGAGAGAAAAAGTTTACACATATTCTGATCACAGAATAACTGGCGCACTGCGCAAGTGGAAATCCCCAAAGTGTAAACAAACAACCTCCGAACTATTTTTCAAACTGTTGTTCAAGTTGACTCAAACCTGCTCTCTGCCTGGTACTGTTTTGTTCCTTTGGTAAATCTAGGGCAGATGTCTTGACTCCCTTTTTCCCTGTCAAATGAGGAAAGTTCTCTTATAACTTTTAATCACAAAACAAACTCTGTCAGTGATTTAATTAATTAATTAATTTGTTTATTGAGATGGAGTCTCACTCACTCTGTCATGCAGGCTGGAGTGCAGTGGTGAGATCATGGCTCACTTCAACCTCCACCTCCCTGTTCAAGTGATTCTCCTGCCTCAGCCTCCTAAGTAGCTGGGACTACAGGTGCCTGCCACCACACCTGGCTAGTTTTTGTATTTTTAGTAGAGATGGGTTTTCACCATGTAGGCCAGGTTGGTGTCAAACTCCTGATCTCAAGTGATCTGCCTGCCTTGGCCTCCCAAAATGCCGGGATTATAGGTGTGAGCCACCGCACCTGGCCTCTGTCAGTGATTAAAATGTCCATTCTGTGTAGAAGCAAAATTCAAGATTTAAAATTTCTCTGTAATAAAGACTGACAACTGTCCACTAAAATCCATTTTCCATTATAATAAAAGTTCTAATCTCATGGCTGGCCAGCAGACTCCATTTCCCAGTCTCCCTTGCAGTTAGAAGTGGCCATGTGAGGTCTAACCAGTGGAATGTGAACAGAGGGATAGGTTTCATTTCCAGGCCTTTCCCTGAAACACTTCCCATGTGTGCTTGTTCATATTATCTCCTCTTTCTGGTTGGCTGAGATGGGAGTGATCCTCATCTTTCTATAATTTGCCACTGAAGTGTTTTTGTTTCTCAGTAGCACCTGCCTGTGATGGCTGTGTGTTAAGTCCTCAATGTAGCCTGCGTGTGGGAGCTGTCTCTTAAAGATCATCAGCCTGGTACCCTAACTCTGTGGATGAAGCATAGCCCACTGCCTTCCCTACTACCCTAAACTGGCACCTTCCTGTACTGTTACATGAGCAAGAAACAGACTTGTACTGTGTTGAGTCACTGCATGTTTGGGACTGTTTGTTACTGCAGCTTCTCACACTCTAACTGATGCGTTCTCCATCTGTGGTCTGTGTCAGGTTAAAAGCCTGCATTGGGAAAAGGAGGCATAATGAGCTCTCTACTATCCTCCTTGGTACCTCCTCATCCCATCCTTAATCCTATTGACTTACTAACTGCAGTTTCTGAACTCTGTAGGGTTGGTTGGAGCATAGAAGAAGCGGGAGGGGCAGGAAAGAGCTTACTTGGCTGGGACTGTCATGATCTTGCTGTTTTGGTGCCCTCATTGTTTTGGTAGGCATTCAAAGTTGACCCTTTTTCTTGTGGGTTGCTTTTGTGGGGTGTGCTAGATATCTTTATTTGTCTCTCCAGAGCCAACCTCTCATCCTCCTTCACCCTGCTTTGTTTCCGGGGCTGGCGCATGTAGAATGTATCAAAGGGCTCCCTTACCTTTCAGTGTCTGCTTGAGTTTGGTGAGTGGGAGTCCCAGGCAAGAGTCTGGAGAGAATCAGGGGAGAGATGCTGGGGTAGTTATTCCTCTGGTTCCCTCCCTGTGGGGTCGACATTGTCTGGCTGCATCTCTCCATTGAAGGTTGCAGCTCCCAGCAGGTTCTCTGCAGACACCCCCCTGAACCTGGGCTCCCAGTTCTGCCCTATTAGGATGCTAAGGCTGTTATTAGCTTCAGAACACTGCACTATTCCCCCAAGGTCTTCTGTCCCACTCACAGCTTCATACATAATCTTTTTATTAATCTCTCCCTGAACAATCTAATTTGAGTGCCATCTATTCTGCTATGCCCCTAATACAGTGGGTTTTTTGAGATGCCCTCACCTGAAGCATCCAACAGTGTGCACTTCTGGTGATGTGGGTGATGCATCTGCTATGCTGCTGCTTATAATTTGTCCCTCGGCTCCTGAGCATTCTGTGATCTGTCCTTTCCAATTGCTTCAGAGAAATGGGGGCTCAGAGATGTTCTGTGACTTGCCCAGGGCCCCAGAGTGAGTGGGTGGTTGAGCTGGTGCTCTTCTCCCTGCCTTGTGCCATCTGCATTACCAATCACTTTCCCAAAAACAGTTCTGCCAGGCTGTACTCCCACCAGCTAAAAAGTGAAATAATCCTATTTTTCAGCCTGACTCGAGTGCTACATGGATAAAAGAGTGAGTTGATGGAGCTGGCCTTGGGCAAGCTCATTCTTCCGGCATGTGGACAAATGCCTGACAAGATGATTCTATCAGGAAGTTACAGGAAGGAGATGGAACAAGGAATTTAGGCCTGGATTCTGCTGTGCTCTCGCCAAATGAGATAGCCAGGGACTCAGTGAGAGGAGGTGCCAGAAAGGCGCCCTCCGAGCAGGTAGGTGTGGCCAACTGGCCATGTTTGCAAACACTTCAACTTGAGAGGAGGCTGCATCTGCCACCACCACCTCCTCCCCAGCCCTAAAAACATTGTATACTACTTGGGCATCTCTTGGCAAAGGCAGCATTGACTCACAGCAGAGGCAATGTGGGATGTGGCCATTGCTCTCTTGCCTGACGCCCCCCAGAAAGCAAAGCTCTTGCCAGCCCCTCAGCCTGGGTTTTCCCCAAAGCAAATCCAAGTGGATCCAACTGAGGCAATTGCAGTCATCAGGAGTTGCTCCCCCGGGGGGACTTCTTTGACCCCACCCATGGGCTGGGTACTGCTCCTAGATGATTTCATGAGGCCCTGTTCTTATAACCTCTCTTATTTCTTTTATTTATTTACTTATTTTGTGAGATAGGATCTTACTATGTTGCCTAGGCTGGAGTGCAGTGGTAAAATCACAGCTCACTGCAGCCTCAACCTCCCAGGGTTCAGGTGATCCTCCAGCCACAGCCTTCCGAGTAGGTGGCACTACAGACATGCACCACCTTGCCCAGCTAATTTTTTTGTGCTTTTTGTGGAGCTGGGGTTTTGCCATGTTGGCCAGGCTGGTCTCAAACTCCTGGGCTCAAGTGATCCGCTCACCTTGGCCCCACAAAGTGTTGGGATTACTGGTGTGAGCCACTGAGCCCGGCCATCCTTTATTATTTCAACAAATGTTTATTGAACACCAACTACTGTTGACCTTTCATATCTGTGGATTCTGCATTTGCAGATTCAACCAACCTTGGATTTAAAATATTTGGAAAAAATACAAATAAAAAATATAGTATAACAACTATTTACATAGCATTTACATGGTATTAGGCATAATAAATAATCTAAAGATGATTTAAAGTGTAAGGGAGGATGTGCATAGGTTATATGCAAATATTACATCGTTTTTTGTGAGGGACTTGTGCATCCTTGGATTTTGGCATCTGTAGGGGATCCTGGAACCCATCCCTCTGGATACTGAACGGTGACTGTATGTGCCTAGGCCTATGTTAGAGCCTCGTTCTAAAATTTAGATTCTCTTGTAAGTAACCCTTGTTACCACTGTTTTGTAATTATTTCTTTACCCCAGAAGACACCAGGTAAATCACTGACTTTAAAAATTTAAATATTCTTATTTTTAGCTTGGCTAGAATGCTGTGTGAATTTTGGGAGGCTATGTCTTTTTGTTATTTTAAAAATATTTTATTAAAAAATCTTGGTAGCCTAGTGCCTTGTGCGTTACCTATAAACAGAAGATACTCCATCCATGTTTACTAAGTTAATGAATGGATGTGGCATTTGGTATCCGCTATTGAATAAGCTGGGACTTGGAGATTCCTTGGCAGTTTTTTGTTTTTTGTTTTTTTTTCTTTCTGTCAGGGGAGGAAAGCAAGTCTGTCAAGTGCTGCTCAGCGAGATATCTGGAGTGTCCAAACCTCTCTCCTTTGCGCTTCTTGCAGCTCCTGTACCTCTTTCCCTGGGGCGGCCAGTACGAATGCATGAGGCACGTGTGGGGACTTTGCTTCTGAGTTCGGATACTGGGGGCCATCACCATTATCTCTGAATGTTCCAGATGAGAACACTGAGATCCAGAGCTGCCGCCCTTCAAGGCCTCTAGGCAGAGAGGTGGAGTGGAGGCTAAGTCCATTACCCTTCAGCCACCCAGCACTGCTATGCCAATGCGTTTACCATTTCAGTGCCTCCTCACTGGTCTAAGTGACAGACGCTGACATTCACACATTCTCAGCCAGGGTGGGTGGCACCGTGCCATAGATGGCACCAAATTGGGTGTTGAGGAAGTACTGCTGTGTCCCTTCCCCCCGGCCCTCCCAGCTCATTGGCCCCAGTTGTGCATGTAGCAGGGTCTCAGTAAATAGGTATGGGAATGAGCAGAGTAATCTGCCTCAGGAATCTTAGAAAAACACGAAAACAACCTTACCAACAGTACTTGGTCTAACACATCATAGCCCTCTAAGTAGTTTCACTGTGTTATCTTGTTTCATGTACCTGCTGTCGTTCGAAATTGTTTCAGGGTAGAAGCATATAATTAAAATATCAATTAAGCCACGTTCTGAAATACATCAGGCTATGTGTGAGCATGAATTAGGAAAAAGTCAAATGACAATTCATCAATCTAGGACTCATTCCCCAGGTACAATCCACAACCCACCTCCCCTGCATCCCAGTTTTGCTCCAGGTATGTTACAGTCCTCACTGCACTGTGCCTTACTAATTGTTCGTCATGTTGCTCTCTTGTCTCCTCCCTCGGGAATTCTTCCTCTTTTTTCTGTATGTAAAAGAAAATCTTCCTTAATCTTCAAAGCTCTGGTCCTGGAGCTCCAATTTTGTTTGTGTTTTTGTAACACCTTTCCCCCCCATCCATTCTTGCAGACTTTGCTATTGTGCTTGGATGCTGCCACAGGCCTGCACTGTATCACTCCTTACATTGTATTGTAATGATTCCCTTCCCTTCCCTTCCTTTCCCCTCCCCTCCCCTCCCCTCCCCTCCCCTCCCCTCCCCTCCCCTCCCCCTCCCCCTCCCTCCCCCTCCCTCCCCCTCCCCTCCCCTCCCCTCCCTTCCTTTTTCATTTTTGAGACAGAGTCTCACTCTGTTGCCCAAGCTAGAGTGTAGTGGTGCAATCTTGGCACACTGCAACCTCCGCCTCCTGGGTTCCAGTGATTCTCCTTCCGCAGCCTGCCAAGTAGCTGGGATTATAGGCATCTACCACTATGCCCGGCTAATTTTTTATTTTTAGTGGAGATGGGGTTTTGCCCTGTTGGCCAGGTTGGTCTCAAACTCCTGACCTCAAGTGGTCCGCCCACCTTGGCCTCCCAAAGTGCTGGAATTACAGGCCTGAGCCACTATGCTCTGCCTGTAATGACTAATTTTGTTCTATCACATCAGACTGATCACCTTGAGGGTAGGGCTATTTTATTACCTCTAGTGCCTGGGACCCTGTAGGCATTGAATGCATATCTGTTAGATGAAAAAAGAGATGTTCCTGGGGCACTTGGTGGCCTGGTCAAGTCCTTGGCTGATTGGCATTTGTTAAGCTTGCTGTTCCCCTCATCCCTCAGCCCAGTGCCCAACAGAGCAGGCTTCCTGGTGGTAAGGCCAGCACTAGGAGTACAGCCCTGTTTCTGCACAAAGCTGCTTGCCAGGTAAAGAATAAATCTCAAATGTTACAACCCGTGTGCTTTATTTTTTAATCATTAAAAAAGCCCCAAGACTATAAAACAGAAAACCCCCACAAACCCCACAAAAGTCCATTCTCTTGGCAAACAATATCCCCAGCAAGGATTATGGGACATTTGGCTTCTCTGAATGCACCTGGCAGTGTATTGCATTCTATATTGCATTCTCCAAAAAACAATTACCTCTGCAGACAGTAGATAAGACACGTGAGTGTGTGTGTGTGTGGGAGTGTGTGTGTGTGTGGGAGTGTGTGTGTGTGTGTGTGTGCGCATGCGCATGTGTAAGTGCACACACATGCACTGAGGACATGGTGTGGTTGAAAGGGTATGGATTTCAAAAGGCAGGCAGACCGAGGTTCAAGTCCAGCTGGACTGTCACCAACAGTATGACCTAGGGCATCTGTAAAATGGGACTAACAAGACCTATATTGGGAGGTTGTGTGAGGATCCAAAGGGAGCCACAGCACCACCAGAGTTCCTGACACTCAAATGCTCTCCCCAAAGGGCAGAGTGAAGGCTGAGGATGCCCTTCAGTTTCTGGAAAGTTTTGTCTCCCGGAGCCTTATATGCATGATCCTTGTCCTATTTTTTGTGGAATTTGACAGTACTGCCTGTTGTTCTTTATTTTTTTCTCTTTTCTCTCTGTTCCCCCCCACCCAGCTTTTTTTTTTTTTTGAGATGGAGTCTCACTCTTTTGGCCAGGCTGGAATGCGGTGGCACGATCTCGGCTCACTGCAACCTCCACCTCCCAGGTTCAAGCGATTCTTGTGCCTTAGCCTCCCGAGTAGCTGGGATTATAGGTGTGCACCACCATGCCTGGCTAATTTTTGTATTTTTTAGTAGAGATGGGGTTTCATCATGTCGGCCAGGCTGGCCCACCTTGGCCTCCCAAAGTTCTGGGATTACAGGGGTGAACCATCGTGCCTGGCCATTGTTCTTTGTTGTTATTGTTCCTAATGAGACTGGAACCACCTCAAGGGTGGGGCCATGTCCAGTACTTCTTTCTGTCTTGCAGAGGAGAAGTTCACCAGATGGATTGGCCAGATGGGTCCTGGATCCATTGGGAAGATGCCTGGGAAAATCTGAATTTTCTTGGGGGACTTCTTTGCTTCTAGTTCTCCACCACCAGGCTGGGAGAGGGTCCTGATACCAAAAGTTCGTTTCAGAATCTGCCTTTCAGCCCTTCCCCTGGTCAAAGGTGTGAGTATGGCTGGCATGATGGGATGGAAAGAACACGGGCTTCTCAATCCCCAATCTAGCACTAGTAAGCTGTGGGAGTTGCAATCCTCTCAGACCTCCATTTCCTATTCATAAAAGTGGGAACAGTGGGACTGCTTCTAGGGCTCAGTGACAGGGCACGGCACCATCTAGCACATTAAAGTGCTCAGTTTTTCTTGCTAATGCCGTAAGGAGATTTAAAATATAAATGCATTCCCGGACTGCAGTGTTGCCCCCTTGAATAGAAACTATTGGAGGTTGGGTTCTGAGAATGTGAATTTTTGAGGCACTCCCAGTGAGACTCTGAGAAGCAGCTATGTTTGGGAATGACAGCTTTTCCATTCTTCAATTCCAGATGCTATTCATAATGAGATGCACTACCAATAACACCTTCTCAGGAAAAAAATGTGTCAATTACCCATTAAATTTATACATTTCAACCTCAGGCACATTAAAAATTGCACCCCTGGACTGTGCATTGTCTCAGCTGTGGTCACAGGACTGAAGGAGAAATCCATGTGGTGTGAGGCAATAACCATGACTGTGATTAGACGGCAGCCTCAATGATCACCTGGTATACACCATGCTGGGAGGCCACTGAGACTGCTCTGCATCATCTCCCAGGCCTGGGATGCGGAGTGTCAGAGAATCAGTCCTGTGTCTCTCTTCTCCAGCATCTCTCAGCTGGATGCACAGGGCTGGCTGTCTTTGTGGTTCAGACTTTCAGGAGTCAAGCCAAATTGAGTCAGAGCATGCTCCTCAGTGTCTGCCCCACCACTGAGAGGGGTCAGCCTTCAGCTGGGATCTGGCAGGCCAGTCTGCACTGCGGGGCTTTCTCGTTGCTGTTGGAGCTTCTTTGCTCCTCGCAGAGTTGGGAAGGGTGGGAGGGCCTCTGTCAGAGCTCTCTGGCCCTTTCTCCATGTTGGCTCAGTCCCTGGGGCTGTGCTTGTGCCTTGATTTCCCTCCTTGGTTCATTGTATTTGTCAGGATTCAGGCAGGAAAACACAAACCAGGCGTGGTGTATCCGACAGAGGAATTTAACACTGGCTATAGAATGTGTAGATGTTGGAAGGCTGGGATGCCAAGAGGGAGACCGAGAGGTGGCCCAGGGCTTATGACCTGTAGGAAGCTGCTGCCCCAGCTGGGGGAGCAAAAAGAAGGAGGATTATCATTAGGATCTGGGATGCAGAGGAGGAGCAGTGCTGTGGAGGAGGGACCGCTGCAGCTAGAGCTGAGATGATGGAAATGGCACAGCTGCTTGAGAGACATCACCTGGAGAAGAAGGAACGAGAGAAAGAGTGAGAGGAATAGAAGATCAGCACTACTCTCCCAGCATCTCTTATTGAGAGAGCTTGTGAAGAAGTCAGCTGGCAAAGGAGCCAAGTGTGACCGAGCCGTGTGCAGAGAGTGTGCTGGGCCTGGGAGGCAATAGACAAACAATAAGTACATTCAGGCAGTCAGCACATATTTACTAAGTACCTTTTCTTTTGAGATTGAGTCTCACCCTGTTGCCAGGCTGGAGTGCAGTGGTGCAATCTCGGCTCACTGCAACCTCCACTCCTCAAGTTCAAGTGATTCTCCTGCCTCAACTTCCTGAGCAGCTGGGACTACAGGCACACGCCACCATGCCCAGCTAATTTTTGTATTTTTACTGGAGACGGCATTTCACCATGTTGGTCAGGATGGTCTTGATCGCTTGACATTGTGATCTGCCTGCCTCGGCCTTCCAAAGTGTTGGGATTACGGGCGTGAATCACTGTACCCGGCCTCCTAAGTACCTTTTAAATGCCAGACACTGTTGTGATGCTGGGGAGTGAGCAGGGAACAAAATAGAAAACTCCCTGCCATCTAGGAGCCAGCATCTTAGTTGGGGAGACAGTCAGCAAACATATAAAAAAAGTAAAATATGTAATCTCTTAAACGGCAGTAACAGCTACAGAGAAAAATGAACGCAGGAAGGGGGCAGGGAGTGGTGGGAGTGGGTGGATGGGCAGGAAAGGTCTCACTAAGAACAGTTTAAGCAAAGACCTGGATGAAGCCAGGCGATGAGACCCGAGGTGTTTGGGGAAGAGCATAGCAGGCAGAGATACAGCAAGGGCAAAGGCCTTGAGGCCTGCCTTGGACAAGGAAAAATAAAGAGGCCCGAGCAGAGTGTGCAAGGGGAGAAGCAGTAGGAGATACAGGAGATAGGGGGATACAGCTGAGCAGTTTGGGCTCCAGAAATTAAAAAAAAAAAAAGGAGCACTCCTTAGGATAGGTGGGCTACCTAAAAAATCTTTATGTAGGTTTTTGTTAGGCCCTGGGCTCCCTCTGACTGATGACCTGGGTGACTTGTACTGACATCCCCTTCCTCCTCTTGTAGGACCATAGAGCGGTCAGAGGATGGGGCTGGAGGACAGACCCTGCAGGGCCATCATGATGGCTTCAGCTTTGATGCTAAGTGAAATGGAAAACCTTCTGCCCTGCTGAGTGCCCGCTATCTCCTCCCCACACCCCAAGTCAGGGGTGGAGCTCTCTGCCTTGACCCCCAGCTCAATTACTGGGATTCTCCTTCCCCTGATCCCAGCAGACACAGATTCTCAACTAGGCTACAGGCTTCCCCAAAACAAAACCCCTGCCTGTTTACACATCACTGCATGTCTGACTGGGGCTTGGTACCCAGTAGGGGCTTAGTAAATACCCGGTGAATGAATGAGCAGTTAAGCAGATCCTCAGATCTCACATTGGCCACCAGCTTTGTGACTCAGCTGCTCAATCAAAGTCTATGTCAGTTGGGTGCACAAAATCAGTCCATTAGTTAGTTGGAATCAGCCAAATAATAAAGCAGTTGCTTGACTGAATTTCTAAACTGGCCACATGAAACCTGTGTGGTTACAGTCTCAGTCTCTATGAGAACTTTGGGGCTGCAGCGTTACTGCACAGGTGTGTCCGCCCCACTGCTTTCTGGTAATGATGGAGGTTTTTCCCCCCATTTATTAGTGATGAGGGGTTTTTTGGAAATAATTGTATTTTTAGCAGCACAGTTAATGAACTAGCTAAGCATCAATAGATGAAATCATAAAACCATTAAACACCAAGAGCAATAATGGGAAACTGCGTCTGGTGGTAATGAAATTAAGTGTCTTTATGAGGTCACTTTATTACTTTTCTCCTCGGCTCTCTTGCCCTCCCAAGTACGTGGTGACTGCTGCTCCTAATTGCTGTTTCACTAAAATGCACAATGCTCTCCATTTGGCGTTTTAAGTTCAGTGTATTTCTAGGGCCTTCAGGATCATTAAACCCTCCACCAAGAGAGTGCAATAGAAGTTGCAGTTATGAAAGTTTCTGGAAGTGGCCCAGTAGTACAGAAGAATGAGGATAGCAGAAAGGGTTGAGAAGGAGCTAAGAAAGACCTGCTGGACTTTACTGAGCCCACACTGTTGAGTCACGTGGTCAAGGTTGAGCCTATGCAACTTTGGCACAGCCTCCAAAGCCAGGGCAAAGTCACTCACAGAGGGACTGGGTGGCTATGGTTTTACCTGTGCTTGAACCATGCTTTTCAGCTTGGGAGCAAGCTCATGTGCATGATTTCCTTTGACCCTGTGACAATCCCATATGATACGTTTTTATTCTCACTTTTCAGATGAGGAAACTGAGGCTCATAGAATCACCCAGGTCCCGCTGCTGTGTAGAGGGCAAAGCTGGTGTGCTTTCCCCATGCCAGAGGTCTTAAGGGTCTGGAGCCAACTCACTTGCTAGTGATTTAAACCTTGTGCAACCAAACTCATGGCACCATACTTAATGCAATAATTCAAGAAATATTCATTGAGTATCTACTGTAGGCTAGGGATACAATGAGCAAAACAGAATCCTTCTCTATCCTCAGGGAACTTAGGAGTAGCTGGGGAGAGTTCCACCAGCAACAATGTGCGGTGAGTTCGGTGAATCAGAGAGAAAGCACCATGTTACGGAAGCTGCTGGCAGGAGGCTCCGATCATATCTATGGGACAGAGAAGCCTTCCTGGAGGAAGCAAGGTTTGAGCTGAAACCTGAAGGATAGAAGATAAATAGATGAAGGAGGGGGAAGAGCGCACAGGCCAGGAGGAAGCCTGCACAAAGGCGTGGCTGACATGTAAGAGAGATTGGTGGCTGAGGAACTGGATTGATTTAGGAGGCATCATCAATCGATAAGGCTAAGGAACTGATTCAGTTGTGGGGCTCATGGAGAGACAGGAGTTGGGAATCTGCACTCCCCACCCCAACCCCAGTTCCTGGCATGGTCACCTGTAGGATGGCAGTGCATTTACTGAGACAGGGGGTGCTGTGGAGGAGCCTAACGGTGGAAGTGAGGTTGGGAGAAGATAATGAACGATTATCTTATCTATGGTGATGAAAATGAGCCCTAAAAGGCAGTTCAGCTGACCCAACTTTGTTATGATCTCAGGGTCGAGAACTGAATTAAAACCCCAATGTAGACATGGTGTTAATTATTTCACTGAGGCCACCGATTAAGGCTGTAAACACTGAGTTTGTTTCCACCCTACTGAGAAATCGAAAGGACAGAGTGAAGCTTCAACATGATCGTCACCAACTGGAACAATCAGGCTAAACATGATGAAATGTAACAGGGATAAATTTAAATTACACTCCTTAGGTTCGCAAAATCAGTTGTTTCTGTAAAGGATGAAAAACCTGACTTAACAGCAGCTCATGTCAACAGAACCTAATAGAGTCAGTTGGCTATGAATTCCACACAAGCTGACGTGGTGCTGTGGCTGCCCCTTTGTAAGGAACATGGCTGTGCTGCAGCCAAGCAAGGATAGGCCGAGGTAAACATCCTGCGTGACTCAGCCAATTTGTAGTGCAGGAGCATAGCTCCACTTGTTGTATAATCACAGCCATGTAGCCATAATATGGGAAGGCTCATCACTTGGCTCGGAGCCACTATCGTCTGTAAAAGGTGTAATTGCCCTGCTGACACTGTACAGGCATGCTTGTGCCCAGAGAAAGCCAGAGAAAGCCAGAGCTGTCCGTTTTGTAAATGGATGAGGGGGAGCCAGGACACAGCTTGGCTCGCTTGTGCCCACAGGGCAAGAGTTAAGCTGTTTACCCTGAAGGGACTGCTGGTTGTGTAGCTGTATGTGGGAGCTGCTGGAGCAAGCAGCCGAGACAGAGACAGACAGTGTAAGAGAGCTGCTGAATAAAGTTACATTTCACCTACTTATGGCTCCCTAAGTGTTCCTCCTATCCATCTGCCATTCATCCACCAACTCCCTTCAGACCTCAGCATGGGCTGGAACCTGACCTTAAACTTAACAACCTTCTTCTACTTCTAATGCCCCCTTGATGTACGAGATATTGGAGAGGAACCCATGAAACTTCCTCTGATGAGGATAGAGAAGAACCTGTAAGAAAAGTGCAGCAGCCAAGGAGAGAGGCCAGCTCAGAGAGATGTCTGTAGGGAAGTCAGGGCTGGCTTATAGGCTCGAGTGTTGGGGAGCTGCATGCCGTGTGATTGGAGGGTGTTTCTAACAAAATACCTGAATAAAAAACAAACAAACAGAGGCAAGGGGCATAATTCTTAGCTAACCAGGGGGCCTCAGAGAGAGGGATTTGTTACGGCTAGGAGAAGAAGGAAGGATGCACCAAGGAAATGATAAAGGATGAAGCATTGCAGAAAAGCCAGTTGCTGTATTAATTCATGTCAGTCATGTGTTTGAGCTCTGATTTTGTGTATAGCCCTGTGCTGTGGGAAATGCTATGAAACAACAGCCACAGAATCAACACCGGTGACTGGTATGGCTCAGATGACCAGTGCTATTCAGAGGATGGTGAGGGGTCACCAGGGAAGAAGCCATGGAGGAGCTGAAGCTTGAGCAGGCCCCTGATGGAAGGGGCTGGGGAAGATGTCACTGCAGGGCATGAGCTGGGCAAGGTGAAGAAATCAGCTGACTGGAGTCTTCAGAAATGGGGTGGAATAGGTAAGGGAAAGCCCAGATCTGGGCATGGTTTGTGGGCCAGGGAGGAGCTGAGATGGGTAGAAGGTGTGGAGGTGAGCTCTTCCCTGGGGAATATAGAGTTCATGGAAGGGTGTCCTGGCTCCTGGCTGGTGAAGCTGAATTGAATGATAACCCTGAACCTATAACTTTCCTTTTGATTGTTTTCTCTCATCATAGTGTGTGCCCTGTGTTGTTGACGACCCTTGTGTTATGCTGATAATTCATCACAGAGGTGAGTGCCCAGAGAACAGTGAGGAGGGAAGCCCAGAGGCAAGGTTTTGCGGGGAGAAACCCCAGTGCTTTCTTATGAGAAACCAAATGAATGAGATAGGGATGAGCAGGTGATATCTAAATTGTATACAGTCCCCTTCTTCCTTCTTTTCTTCCTTTCTTTCTTCCCTGGTATGGTTTGAATGCATCCCCCCAGAGTCATATGTTAGGTACTCCCCAAGGCAAGTGTTGTGAGGTGGGACCTAATGGGAGGTGTTTAGGTCATGAGGGCTCTACCCTCATGAATGGATTAATGCTGCCATATAAAGGGTTTCTGGGAGTGGGCTCTCTCTCTTGTCCTGCCTTCCATCATGTGAGGACACAACGTGCAAGGCACCATCGTGGAAGAACAGAATATCTTCATCAGACATCAAACCTGCTGATGCCTTGACCTCAGACTTCCCAGCCTTCAGAACTGTGAGCCAATAGATTTCTGTTTACAAATTACTTAGCCTGTGGTATTCTGTTATAGCAGCACAAAAAGAAGCCCCCCCCCGACATTCCTCACTCCCTCCAACCTTTATTGAGCAATTGCTGCATAACTGTATTGTGCTAAGGGATGGAGATACAAAGATGACTAGAACACAGTTCCTGCTCCCTAAGAGTTCTCAGTCGAGACACACAAGTAAGTAACACAGCTCTTTGATCTTAAAATGTACTGTCAATATAATAACAGATTTTCAGAAGAAAAAAAGTCAGAAACACTACCACAGTCAATGTCCACATTAGCAAAATATTCTGGTTTCAGAAACACTCAAGTGTGAAAAAACAGGTTTTAAAATTGAGCAGTATGAACAGAGTAATCATTTTCATAATAGGAGTGGGCCCATTGACCTATCAGGACATGAAAATGTGGGGAAAAATGTGTCTTGGAATTGATAGTTACAGCGGTGTGATCATTGTCACAACGGGTGGGAACAAAACACCACTGGAACCCACTGGAGGAAGCTCTTAATGCCGTGTGGGAACACCAGACAAGGCTCCTGGCAGGAGATAGTGTTGGAAGGCTGCCTTCTAGGCTAACAGTGATGGTCAAGGGGAGGGTAAAGAGTCCAGAGGAGGTAGGGTTCCAGGCAGAGGGAGCAGCTTTTGCAGAGGAAGGAGACAGAGGCGGGTGTGATTGAGAGCAGCTCTTTGTTGTCTTTGTTTGTGATTGTTATCAGCAGTGGAGCAGAGGGGGGCTTCAGTCTGAAGGGGCCTGGACCAGTCTCATCACGAAGACAACAGGGAAGGAGACATGAACACTGCAGGGCAATTGAATGAAACATCTTCGCTGAACTTTCCCGTCTCTTGAAAAGTTTTTATGTATTCTTATGTTTACATAAGTCATAAACCAATTGCCTAATGCAAAAATGGTGTGTTCTTGAATAGTAAGAATAGGCAACAGATTTCAATCAATAGACTCAGAATTTTTCATTAAATCTGCTTGCTTATTTCCTTAAACCTTTTCTCCAGGGCAAATGTGCCCTTTAGAAGTGATTGATTGTGTTGCTCCCATTGGTATCCACACTCCTTAGGCTCTTTCTCTCTCTCTCTTTTCCTCTCTCTGCCTCTCTCTCTCATCTTCCCAGTTGTTGTCAAGCAGCTGCCCTCAGCTGAAACATCAGGCAGGCATCAAGGAGTATGTTTTTTGTTCAGATGCGTGCACATGTAAAGCTGTTTCTGAATTGCATCTTTGCAAAATAACCTTTGGGGATCGACATGATGAGGATGCCATTAGCAGGAATTTCATCTGCGTGGATCCCAGGAAGGGGAGAAAGCTACCATAGTGTGGAAAGAAAGCCTAATAAATAAACAGTCTGGAATGTCCTTCCCAGGAAGGCCTGTTGAAAGAGATGAACAGTACTGGATTAATTAATTTTCCTGGGTGGTGCCACTTTGTGTTTCTGGGGCAATACATGGTCTCTTGGGGCCAAGAAGCACCCCTCTGGTTCTGGTCTCTTCTGCATTTATTCAATAAATATCTCAACTCACCATGTGTCCAGGGGAGAGAATCTCCTGGCTGCTCCCTCTGCAGACCCTCTCTGAGTCCCGGGAGGGCCCCGAGTCATCAGAGCACAGAGAATCAGGGTGGGTCCAGGTTCTGAGGGAAACTGCACGGGGTGGGAATCACGTCAGCCTCCTCCTGCTGCTACTGCCACTGGAGCCCCTTCACAGCATGTTTCCTCTTCTGTGAAATCAGCTTGTTTACTATGGTTGACCCTTGAATGACATGGGTTTGAACTGCACAGGTCCACTTTTACACAGATTTTGTTCAACAAACATATTGGGATTTTTTTAGGGGAGGGAAATGTACAACAATTTGAAACAACTCACAGATGAGCCATGTGGCCTAGAAATGTCAAAAAAATTAAGAAAAGCTATGTCACAAATGCATAAAATATGTGTAGATACTAGTCTCTTTTATCATTTACTTCCATAAAATACCCCTAGACAGCAAGACCTCCTTTTCCTCCTCCTCTTCAGGCTACTCAACGTGAAGACTTGAGGATGGAGACCTTTATGATGATCCACTTCCACTTAATAAATAGTAAATGTGTTTTCTTCTCCTAATGATTTTCTTAACATTTTCTTTTTTCTAGCTTACTTTATTGTAAGAATACAGTATATGATACATATGCCATACAAAATATGTGTTGTTTATATTATAAGTAAGGCATCCAACCAATTGTAGGCTATCAGTTAAGTTTTAAGGGAGTTAAGTTTTCAGGGAGTCAAAAGTTATATGTGGATTTTCAACTGCATGGAGGCAAGGGGTTGGCACTCCTGGCCCTTGTGTTGGTCCAGGGTCAACTGCAGTTGATCTCTAAGACTCTGTTTCAGTTCTGTGGCAGTGAAGATACCCATTGCTGAATGTTTAGGCCATGTGCCAGGCACTTTGCTAAGAGCTTTACATATATGATCTCATTTAATCTTCATGGCAACTGTGTGAGGTTCATGCTTTTATTATCCCATTTTACAGATGAGGAACTGAGGCTTAGAGATGTTATGAACTTAGCCCTGGGAAATACAACTGGGAAGTGGCAGAACTGGAATGAGTTCGTGTGTCTGATTCTGTCGCCCACACCTTTAATGCATTATCTTAGTGTGCTTGGGCTGCTATAATAAAACACCACAGGCTGGGTTACTTAAACAACAGACATTTCTCACCGTTCTGGAGGTTGGGAGGTCCAAGATCAAGGTCCCAGCAGAATCTGATGAGGCCTCTCCTCCTGGTTTGTAGATGGGTGCCTTCTTGCTCTATCTTTGCATAAGGGGGAGTGAAGGTAGGGGAGCCAGTGGGAGAGAGAGAGAGTCTTTTACTCTTCTCATAAGGATACTAATCTCATGATGGGAGCTCCACCCTCAGGACTTGTCTGAACCTTTTGTTTTCTAGAGGCTGCACCTCTTAATGCCAACACAAAAGGGGGTTAGGACTTCAACATAAGAATTGTGGGAGGACACAGACATTTAATTCATCATATGCATTATGCAATATTGCTTCCTTCCACGATACAGAAAAAGTATGGGTGGGGAACACTGGGTCACCGTTAGAAGCAGGGTAGGAGGCATACACCTCCCTCCCTCTAGAGGGAGTAGTCAAGGGCAGGCTGCTGTGTCTGTGAGCAGGACACAGGGAACTGTGAAGAGGGCTTCTGTGCACTGCTTATGAAGCCAGATACACCTTGGGGACAAGCTACTCCCCAGGTGTATCTAGGATTGTTTGTGAAGATCCATCTGTTCATTTCACAGATATGTTTTGAACACCTACATTGTATTAGGGTCTGTGAATTCAATGGTGAAACAAAAAGATCGCATTGAATCCTCGGCAGGGCTTGATGGAGGGCTGTGAGAGTATTACTGAGGGGCCAGCCTCAGGCTGGCAGAGAATGTGGTCGTTAAAGTTGTGTTTAAGGAAGTGATTTCTGAACTGACCTCTATAGGATCTGAATGCTTTAACCCGACACAGGAGGGAAAGGCAGGAGGAGGGCCAGTGTGGCTGGAGCTGGAGGAGGGTGTGGAGGGCCCGGTTCTCTAGGGTTTTGTCGGTAACTTAAGTAGTTTGCTATTACACTTAGAACAAAGGTTTTCATCAGGATTTGAATCAGGAAAGCAATGTGAACAGATCTGCACTAACACAAAGTCCCTCTGGCTGCTGTGTGGAAGAGGCTGTAGTGGGAGTTGGTGGGCTGATGCCTTAGACCAAACAAGAGCTGGCAGTAGCTGGGCTAGAGTTGGCAGAGGAGATGGAAAGAATAGGAAGGATCAGTGGGATATTTAGGAGGTAAAATCAGCAAGACATGGGGGGATGGATTGAATTAAGGGTTGCAGGAGACATAATCTACATAAACTGAGATGGGCAAGCACATTTGATACCCTGGTTTAGGAACCTGTGCTTTAGCGGTAATGCCCCTTCTTAATGCTTCCCAAGCTGTCTAGCTATATCAGTCTGGATGACTTCACCTGCATGGTAAGAAATCCCCCAACTCAATGGTTATAAACAATCAGAAATCATCTCACATAGCAGGAAGTCCATGGGTGGTAGCACTTGCCCCAGTGGTAGAATCAGCTCTGTGATGTCACCAAGGACTCAGGCTCCCTCTCTCTCTTTCTGCTGATTCCCACTGGGGCCAGCTTCCCTGGTGGTGGCAAGGTGACCTTGGCATTTCTAGGTATCAGACACCCAGTCACAACCACATTCTTCTCAGGCTCATCTGGCTACACAGAGTCAAGCTGTGTGCTCTGCCAGGAAAATGGGATGACTGTGAAGGCATAGACTGATAAGAATTTCGCCATGGATTGCAAATGGGGTCATCTTCTCTGAAAAGTGGACAAATGAACTAACCCAGGGTCCTGTTAGGGGAACTAGACATGGGGGCTCATTGGATTTGTCATGGTGCCCTGGACCAACACGTCTCAGATTTTGAATTTCTTAGATCAATAAACACAATACAAAGAGTGGGTGGGGGAACTGACATAGGATTGCTGACTTTTCACTTTCACCTAGTAAATATTAAAAAAAATACCATCTGCTGTCTCTATCATTTCATTAGAAGAACATCTTAAAAGCAAAGAAGAAAGAATCCTTGTGTTTCATAAGTTTAGCATTATTAAACATTTACTCTTTTTCATTTCTTTTATCTGAAATTTGGGAACCAGTCTCTTGGGACCACTCTGAGCTATATATGGCAGAAGTTCTTAACTTGAGTCTGTAGATTGCCACCCTACTGCTAAGGGGTCTGTGGAATAGGAGCCAGAGGCTCCATGAACTTGGGTAGAGAAAAATTATAGCTTTTTTTTTTTTTTTACTATCTTCTATGTGAAATGTAGCATTTCCTTCAATTACAAATGTGGCAACAAACCAGTCATATTAGCTCTAACTGTGATTTTGTCATTAATAGAATCGCAAATGTTTTCGTATCACATTACAGTTGTTGTAGATATCTGGAAATGTCATTAACACCCACGACTATTTTGAAATCACAGTAGCTCTCAGACTGGCTGCTAGACAGCATGTGAGCTCAGAATTCCCCACAGACTCTCCTGCTCTACATCTGGCCACTTGTGGCAACTTGGTACCTCAACAGGGCAGTCATCAAGCAGCAGATCTGAGTGTTTTCCTGTAGGTGACCCAGACTTTCCAGCATCCCTTAACTGAATTGTTTGTGGATGAATTTGCAGAAGGAGTCGAATCGTTTTAATGGTTTGTGAAGTTTTGCAATCTGAACTGTTCTAACTTGAATTTTTAACTCTCCGTAGGCAGTGCCACCTTGGGTGGCACAGCTGAGTTGGGATACGTCTGATTGCTGAGTGAACTGTCGGAGTGTGATATTTAAAGCAACTTCTTGTGATTGCTGACAGATTGCACGGTGATGCAGGTCGTGCACGGTGCGATAAGCTCTGGGAGAAGCAGAAGTGTTCTCTATTTTTTTTCTGGATTTACTCTGTATTTGTGCAATGTCTGTGATATGAAGTGCAGTCTTACCTGCACACTATGTTACTCACATGTTGTTCTTGCACTATTATTTTGTGAAAATATCACATACCTAAAAAAAAAAAACCTTTGTGAGAAACACTGACAATATCAGAAATAAGAATCATTATTTCTAAAAAGTCACAGGAAATCACATGCAGCACTAGCTAAATTCCAGGTAGGATAGGACTCGTGATCAACTGTGGTAATCCCACATCTGTGCAGAGGTTAAAAGATACTAACAGTACTGAAACCTTGGGTAATCATAAAACCTGTCTTATTTTACTCACTGGTCATAAAATTTAACAAATATTTGACACTTTACTTAATTAATATACAAATGATTGCCTCCTATGTAGGTCTATCAAACAAATTACTTAGGAATCATAAAGAAAATATGATGCTTCAAAGAATGTTAGTGGCATAAAACATTTTATTTTAGCTTTATTTATTATTTATTTTTTACAGACCCAATTTATCTTCAGGCTGGGAAAAGAAAAGGAAGGCCTGATGAAAACTGTGTATTTGGCTTTGTTTACATTAATGAAGTGACTGGACAGAAAAAGTCACAATGACTTTTTTCTTTTGTGAAAAAAATTATTGGGAATGGAATTTTGAAGTCAGGAAGACTGAAAGAGGACCCACCGTTGTCTATCTGGAAGATGTATCCAAAATGCCCAGTTTTGTGTGCATGTGTATGAAGGAAGTTCAGTTAGAAAAAGCTTGCAGCTTGGGCAATACAGCAAGACCTTGATTCTAAAATTTTTTTTTTTAAAATTAGCTGGGTGTGTTGGTGTGGCACCTGTGGTCCCAGCTACTCAGGAGGCTGAGGTAGGAGGATCCCTTGAGACTGGGAGGTCAAGGCTGCAGGGCGAAATAATAGCGTCACTGTACTCTACCTCAACTCTACCTCGGGGGGGAAAAAAAAGGAAAAGGAAAAGAAAAAGAAAAAAAAGTTCAGATACTTCAAAATGTGGATTTGGCATAAAAACCTTTTCTTGAAGCGTTCTTGAAATTTCTTACCAGATGCCAAACAGAAAAAGCCTCACATTACTGGAGAAACTTTATCTAAAGCCACATACAGTGGGAATATGGAGTAGATTTGTGAATAGAAACAGAGGTAAAAACTGGAGGTGATTATTTAGTCAGATGAGGTGCTTCTATGAAGAATAATAGGCATGTCTTGAAGCAAGTTATGGAGGAAGTGGTCGCCTCGCCATTACTCCCACAAGTCACTCTGTGAAACTACAGGTATCCTTCCAGGTAACCACCTGTGTGTTTTGTGCATGATGCGCCTGCTGACTTCAACAAAGAAAGATTTTGTTTTGTGAGTGTCTTCGGAAACTACAAAGGCTGCTGATGTTTTGCAGATGGTATAAAGGTTTTTGTTCTGTTTTGCTTGTGTCAAACAAAAGTGACTCGACAGAAAAGGTTCATTTCCTAGCACAGACAGTGCTGTCGCAATGCGTGGCTGTGCGTGTGACTTCGCCACTTGAGTAAAACGGAGTACCTACGTTGTTCTCACTCACCGCATTTCACACAAACATATTCTGGCTCTTCAGTAAGTCCCAAGAGAAGTTTTGTCAACAGCCATAAAAGTCATCAACTTTTATCTAGTCTCTGAATCACAGCATTTTTGCAGGTTTTGTCAAGAAATGATGGCAAAAAATGAAGTGCTTCTCTACCACAGAGAAGCTCACTATCTTTTAAGGGGAAAGATTCACTGTTTTCTAAAAGAAAAAGAAAATCCACTCCTGGAACACGTAGCAAAAAAAAAAAAAAAAATGTTTTCTGTGGGTTGGCTGACCCAGCGGATATTTTTAACCATCTGAATGAGATGAATCTTCCAGTTTGAGGCCCTGACACCACCATTATGAATGATCCTGAAATCTTTACCAGTTTTTTTGGCTCAGTTGCCAATACGAAAGGAGAGTTGAGGCTGACATCTTTGCCAACTTTTGCGACGCTGGAGGAAGTGCTTTACCTCAATGAAGTTGACATACAAAATACTGTCAGTTTATTTGAAAAGAGAAATCTACAAACACCTAGAAACACTGTAGAACTCCTTTAAAAATTATTTCTATCTTGATGGTGTCAAAGTTGGACCATAGAATCACATTCTTTTTATTGTTGATACAAACTGTCTCAAAGGTGTTCGCCTAGCCAAAGATGGCAAACATCGATCTTGGGACGGAAAACAGCTACAACTAGAGTTTAGCTAAAAAGTCTTGGAGAGTTTTGGTGCTCCTTGACAGAAACCTCTGTCTACTTTGCAAAGGAGCCATAAAAGCTTTAATTCCATTTTCAACAATATACATTTGAGGATTGGATTTTTAATCGTTACTATAAAAAAATCAAAATCAATTGGCTGTCCAGCATGACAAGTGTATTATCTCATCAAAGACATCCCGCTGTCTCATGTTGTTATTCAAGCTAGGCAAAAACAGCCTTTATATGGGTATGTCTTTTAAAAAATAAAATTTTACTTTAATTTGTCTGTATTTCAAATGCAATGTCTGATTTTTTTAAAATGTGGTTCAAAGAAGCAAATCTATTACTATGTAATATATATTTTAAACATACTGTTTTGGTAATAGTACTTCAGTATACATACTTGGTTTTCCTTGTAATCCTATGCCTTTATTTTATTCATCAAAAAACATTATTTTAAGAAAGGTCAGTAGGCTTCCTCAGATTGCCCAAGGAATCCACTATATAAAGACAGTAAAGAACTGATGGCTCCACACAGTTGCTCAAGCCTGTAATCCCAGCACTTTGGGAGGCCGAGGTGGGTGGATCACTTGAGGTCAGGAGTTTCAGACTAGCCTGGCCAACATGGTGAAACCCCGCCTCTACTAAAAATACAAAAATTTGCCAGTCGTGGTGGCATGTTCCTGTAGTCCCAGCTACTTAGGAGGCTGAGGCATGAAAATTGTGTGAACCCAGGAGGTGGAGGTTGCAGTGAGCCGAAATCGCGCCACTGCACCCCAGTGTGGGCAACAGAGTGAGACTCTGTCTCAAAAAAAAAAAAAAAAAAAAAAAAAAATCTCCTGATATAAGAGGACATGATCACCTGCCACGCTCTCAAGTTGCTTAACGTGCAAAAAGGCAGGTGTGTTGTGTATGATATGGTGCTTGAAGAAAGAGCAGCTTCCTTGACAAAAGGCCAGGCCAGCCATTTGGCTCCTGTGCTGCCAGGAAAATCCACTGGAGGTGGCAGTCTTTAATGTTCAACCTCATCATTCCCAAGACAATGGAAGAAGGGGCAGATACCAACCCAACATAGGAAGGCATCTCTTCTCTTTTCTTACTATAGTAGCTGATTCCAGAAAACTGGCCGCTTTCAATCAAGCCCCGTTGCTGAAGTGAAATCTATTACTGATTTCTTCCTGTATTCAGGGAGTGATATAGGGCTACAGAGAAGGGAAACACAAGGTCTATTCCCTTAAGGAGTAAACAATTTAGTGTTGGAGACAAAATTAATACATAAAACAATTAAGGGGAATTAAATGCAAGGCTAGAGGGTGTTTTAAGAAAATTCTGCCTGCTGACTTTTTCAACACAGTATCTTCAGGGTCTAGAATACTGCTTGGCATACAGTATGTGCCAGAAAAAAAAATCTTTGTTGAATAAATAAATTGATGATGGAAATGTTAAAATAACATCTATTGTTATGAGAATAAGACAGTTGTCCCTCAGTAACCATGGGGAATTGATTCCAGGACCTCCCTTGGGTACCAAAGTCCAAGGATGCTCAAGTACCTAATATAAAATGGTGTAGTATTTATTTGCATATAACCTAAGCACATTTTCCCATATACTTTGTTTATTTATTTATTTGAGATGGAGTCTCGCTCTGCTGCACAGGCTGGATTGCAGTGGCATGATCTTGGCTCACTGCAACCTCTGCCTCCTGGATTCAAGCCATTCTCCTGTCTCAGCCTCCCATGTACCTGGGATTACAGGCGTGAGCCACCACATCCAGCTAATTTTGTATTTTTAGTAGAGATGGGGTTTCACCATGTTGGCCAGGCTGATCTTGAACTCCTGACCTCAAGTCATCCTCCTGCCTTGGCCTCCCAAAGTGCTGGGATTACAGGTGTGAGTCATTGCCCCTGGCCTTCCCATATACTTTAAATCATCTCTGGATGCTTACAATACCTAATACACTGTAAATCTTATGTAAATGATTATAATTTATATATTTTTTATTTTTTCCAAATATTTTGATCCTCAGTTGAATTCACAGATGCAGAACCTGCAGATATGAAGGGTCAGCTGTACATATTATTAGAGAAAATGTAAAAATACAAAAGACTATAAAGAAGAAGTAAAAAAGAAAGGCTAACCAGCCAACATTTTTGCTATACTGCTATATTTCTTCTTTGTTCTTTTTTCTAAATACATGCATAACACATACACACACACACACACACACACAAACACACACACATACTTTCTTTAAAGAACAGAATTGAGACTTGAGTTTTATAGCCCGATTTTTTTCTCTTAAAATTATATTGTGAACATTTTGCTGTGCCATTAAATATTCTTCAGAACATTATTTTTAATGGCTGTATCATATAGTATTCTATAAATAAATCATGGTGTATGTAGCCTGATTTATTAAGCACTTCCCTATTGTTGAACATTACTGTTGGGAACATTGTATAATACCAAGAGCAGCTTTTATTTGTTGCTTTGCTCTGTTCCAAGTATTTTGCTGAGCTTTTTCCCTTGACGCATAATCTCATTTAATTTTATTCTCATAGCAATCTAATGAGGTAGACTCCATTAGACCCATTTTACAGAGGGAAACATGAAGGTCTGAGGAGTAATGTGTCAAAGGCTGCAGTTCCAGAAAGAGGCAAATCTGGGATTCAAGTCCTGGTCCCATTTGATGTTAATGTCCAGGCATTCAAACGTAACCCTGGCCTGCCTCACCAGCGTGTATGAGGAAGGTTCATGCTTTCTCAGGCCATGAAAGAGACTGAGAAACACATATCAGAAAGGCAGGAGGAGACACTGAAGAGAGGAGTATGGAGGCAACAAAGGAGCGATCTTAAGAAGGAGGAAGTGCTTTTCTGTATTCAAAGTTGTGAAGATAGAAGGACAAGACCAATGCAAAAAACAATGAATCTTTTTCAAGACAGGCATTTCAGAAACATGATGGGGGTGAAATGCGTGTTCCCAGCTCAGTGCTCCTGACTTGGTAGTGGTGGAGTGACAAAATCATTCATTTATTTCTTTCCAATACTGGGAGTCATGGAACAGCCTTCATAAGGTGGCATGCAAGGAGCAGAATGTCCCTCCTGTTCCTGAGCATTTCTGCATCCCGGCATCAGTGAGCCGTATCAGTAGCAGGAGCTCAGAGGCTTGTAATGGAAGGCAGGGACATCACCCTACAGGGACAGCAGAACTGCAGGGAGACCACAGGGGCTGGCCGGGGACCGGGCTTAGGTGACCAGCTTTCCGGATGTGCCTGGGACTGAGGGGTTTCCCTGTAAGTTTTAAAACTTCCAGTGTTAAAAATAGGAAAGTCCCAGGCAAACTGGGAGGGTTGGTCACCCCAGGCGGAGGCCCAACTCAGAGTCTGGGCTCATCCAGGGGCAGGTCCTTGCAGGCTTCTTGAAAGAGTAGGGAGGGAATCTGGCGCTGTTTGCGCATGCTCACCTCCCACTTTTGGCCCTTGCAGGCTACCTTTCCCTTGGCGCCCTCACTGAAACTTCCTCCACGAGGGTCACCGATGAACCCTTCATACTTCCAGATTCCACAGCCTCTTTTGGTAAAAGTCACTGTCATCCGTCACCAGGCCTACTGCAGTAGTCTCCTAATGGTCCCCTGCTTCCATCCTTTGCCGTACAATCTATTCCCAACCCAACAGCCAAAGTGACCTTTTCCTGAAAAATTGAACCTTTTAAAATTCAGAAATAATGTATACATAGTAAAACTCAAGTGTATTAATACGCAATTCTGCATGCTTTGGCAAACACATGCAGTGGTTTAACCTCCACTGTAGTCAAGATATAAAAATTTTTTTTTTCCACTCCAAATAATTCCTCTGTACCAACCTATTTCCTTACCCCCAGTCCCTGGTAACCGCTGGTTTCTGTTTCTAAACTTTTTGCCTTTTCAGAATGGCGTGGAAATGAATCATATTGTATGTAGCCTTTGAGTTTGGCTTCTTTCACTTAGCATAATGCATTTGAGATTAATTCATGTTGTGTGTGTTAGTAGCTCATTATTTTTAATACTGAATAGGACTCCTTTATAATGAATATTCCACAGTTTGTTATCCATATGCAACAGATAAAGGATGTGTGATACTTTCCAATTTTTGGCAGTTATGAAGTTGCTTTCTAAGCATTTGCATACAGGTTTTTCTGGAAGTTTAAGTTTCTATTTCATTTGGGTAAATGCCTGGGAGTGGGATTGCTGGGTTGTATGGTAAGAGTATGTTTCATTTTATAAGACTGCCAGGCTGCTTTGCAAAGTGTACCATTTTGCATTTCCACCAGCAATGTATGAGAGTTCCAGTTGCTCTGCAGCCTCACCAGCCCCTGATATTATCAGCTAAAAATATTATTTTTAAAAGCTATAAAAATTATTTTTAGCTGATAATATATTTTTAGACATTCTACCAGATGTGTAGTGGTATCTCATTGTGGCTTTAATGTCTTTTTCCCCGGTGGCTAATAATGTTGAACATCTTTTTGTGTGCTTATTGACATGCAAAGTGTCTGTTAAATTCTTTTGCCTATTTTAAAACTTGGGCTGTTAGTTTTCTTACTCTTAGGTTTTAAGAATACTTTATATATCCTGTGTCAAGTCTTTTATTCGATACATGATTTGATCTCCCAGTCTGTGGCTTATCTTTTCATTCTCATAACGGTGTCTTATGAAGAGCAGAGGTTTCTAATTTATTAATTTGGGGTAACATCTAAGAAATATTTGCCTAACTCAAGTTCACAAAGATTCTCTGTGATTTTATCTAATAGTTTTAGATTTTGCATTTAGGTCTGTGATTCATTTTGAATTAATTTGTGTATATGATACAACGGATGGATAGAGGTTCTTTTTTTTTTTTTTGCGTATGGATGTGCAATTTGTTCCAGCACCATTTGTGTGGAAGACTATTTTTTATCCATTGAATTGCCTTCATACTTTTATTGAAAATAAGTTGCCCAACTTCACCTGGGTCAATTTCTGAATTCTGTTCCCTAGATCTAAATGTAGAGGTGCGCTGGCAATTTTTTTTTTTTTTTTTTTTTTTTGAGACAGGGTCTCACTTTGTCACCCAGGCTGGAGTGCAGTGGTGCAATCTCTGCTCACTGCAGCCTTGACCTCTTGGGCTCAAGTGATGCTCCTGCCTCAGCCCCTCAAGTAGCTGGGACCATAAGCATGTGCCACCATGCCTGGCTGATTTTTTGTATTTTTTGTATAGATGGGGTTTCACCACGTTGCCCAGGCTGGTCTTGAACTCCTGAGCTTAAGCGATCCGCTGACCTCAGCTAGGATTACAGGTGTGAGCCACCGCAACCTGGCTGCTGGTACATATTTAAGAACTGACTCTGGGGGGTGGTGGGAGAGGAAAGTCCTGATTTGTAGTTGTTTGCTGAGTTCCGTTTTTAATATATTCTTACAGTGCATAATTTCAAGCAATCAATGTGACAACAACTAGCCTGTAAAACTTCTGAAACTTTGACATTGGCTCTGATGAGCGGATATGAGCTGGCTGCAGCACACCACTATGTCTATCCTTTTTTCCAGTATCACACTGTCTTGATCACTATGGCTTTGTAAGTCTTGATATCAGGCAGTGTGATTTCTCAAATTTTGTTCTTTTTCAAAATTGTTTTATCTATTCTAGTTCCTTTATTTTTTCATATACGTTTTAGAATCAGTATATTAATTTTTGCAAAATTCCTGCAGAGACTTTGACTGAAATTGAATTGAATCTGTTGCTCACTTTAGGGAGCACTCACATCTTGACATCAAGTCTTCAGATCCATGAACAATGTTTCTCTCCACTTATTAGGTCTTCTTGATTTCAGTGTTTTTTTTTTTTGTTTTGTTTTGTTTTTAGTTTTGGTATACCGATCTTGCATATACTTTATTAGACTTGTCCATATATGTGTTTATAAATTTTTAGTGCTATTACAAATAGCACTTTTGTAAATTTCAATTTCTAATTTTTCACTGTTAGTAAGTGCAAATACAATGGCTTTGTGTATATTGACTTCGTATGCTGTGACTTTCCAAACTCACTTATTAGTACTAGTAATTTTGCTGAAGAGTCTTCATGATTTTCTACATAGAAAATCAGGTTGTCTAAAAATAGAGACAGTTCTATTCCTCCTTTCCAATCTTGCAAGGCTTTTATTTATTTTTTTCTTGCATTTTTGCAATGTGATACTGAATAAAAGTAGTGAGACCACGCATCCTTGCCTTGTTCCTCATCTTAGGGGAAAAGCATTTAGTCTTTTACCATTAAGTCTGTCAACAGGGGCGGGGCCAAGATGGCTGATTAGAAACAGGCGCGATCCGAGGCTCCCACCAAAAAGAACCATAATAAGTGTGTGAATCCTTCACAGGCAACCAGGGTATCCAGGTTCTCTCATCAGAACTGACTAGGAGGCTGGCCTGATCCACGGAAAGGAAGGAAGAGCAGCATAGTGCGGTGGCCCACCTAAGAGCCATATGGGACAGGGGAGCCCTCATCCCCCAGCCGAGGGAGGCGGTGAGTGAATGTGCTACCCAGCCGAGGAAATAGTGCTTTTTCCACGGAACTGTGCACCCCCCGGATCGGAAGATCCCACCTGTGAACCCACACCACTGGGGCCTAATGTCCCAACCCTGGAGACAGGCAAATTCTCAACAGCCTCTGAGCTGGAATCTGCTTAAGCCTATCGAGCTTGCAGCAGGGAAGGGTGACCAGCACCATAGCTTTGGCTGCCTGCTGTCTGGGCCATTTGATCTCCTCGTGGGAGGGGCAGCAGCCAGCATGGGGGCTCACAACTGCCCAACACGCTAAGCTCCCTGGGTGGGGGAAGGGCAGCATTCATCTCTAGCTCCGGGCTGTGGTTTTCCCCTGCCGGAGCCAGGGAGGCTGGATGGCTTGGTCCCAAGACTTGTCCCTCACAGCCCAACACATGGGCTGTGGCAGACTGTGGCCAGAGTACCTCTTCAGGCCTAACCCTGACTCATCCTTCCTCACTGGATGGGGCTTCGCTGCAGGAACTCCAATAACTCCAGCCAGAGGCTCAGAGACAGAATGCTAATCTCCCTGGGCCTGAGCCCCCAGCGGGAGGGTTGGCCGCGTCTCTGTTAGCCTTTCCTCCTGGTAGTTCTGAGGAATCTGGGCAGCCCAGACGAGAGGGTTTCCCCCCCAGCAGAGCACACCCCCTCCACCAAGGGACAAAGTGCTTTGTTAAGTGGGTCCTGTTCCCTGTACCACTCAACTGGGTGAGACCCTCCAGCAGGGGTTGTCAGACACCCTATGCAGGAGCGATCCTACTGGCATTAGGTTGGTGCCCCTCGAGGTCAGAGATCCCAGAAGGAGGAGCAGGCACCCATCTTTGCTGCTCTCCAGCCTCCTTGAGTGACATCTCCAGACACGGGAGCAAATCAGATGAATAGGGCCTGTAGTGAACCCCCAGCAAACTGCAGCAGCCCTACAGAAGAGCGACCTGACCATTGAAAGAAAAACAAACAGAAAGCAACAACAATAGCATCAACAGCAACAAAAAGCCCCCACAAAAACCCCATCCAAGTGTCAGCAGCCTCAAAGATCGAAACTGGAGAAACACATGAAGATGAGAAAGAATCAATTAAAAAAACACTGAAAACCGAAAAAGCCAGAGTATCTCTTCTCCTCCAAGTGATCGCAATGTCTCTCCAGCAAGGGTGCAAAACTGGATGGAAGATGAGACGAACGAATTGACAGAAGTAGGCTTCAGAAGATGGGTAATAAAAAAATACACTGAGCTAAAGGAGCATGTTCAAACCCAATGCAAAAAAGCTAAGAACCTTGATTAAAGGTTAGAGGAGCTGCTAACTAGAATAACCAGTTTAGAGAGAAATGTAGACCTGAAGGAGCTGAAAACCATAGCACGAGAACTTCATGAAGCATACACAAGTATCAATAGCCGAATTGACCAAGTGAAAGAAAGGGTATCAGAGTTTGAAGACCATTTTGCTGAAATAAGGCATGCAGACAAAACTAGAGAAAAAAGAATGAAAGGAATGAACAAAACCTCCAAGAAATATGGGACTTCGTAAAAAGACCAAATGTATGATTGATTTTAGTAACTGAAGGAAATGGGGAGAATGGAAACAAGCTGGAAAACACACTTCAGGATACTATCCAGGAGGACTTCCCTGACCTAGCAAGTCTGTTAATAGCTGGAAGTTTTTTTTGCAGTTGCTGCCTTTCAAGTTGAGAAAAATTGCTTCTATTGCGGAAAATTTTTATTATGAGTAAGTATCTAATTTTTCAAATGCTTTGTTTGCACTTGTAGAAATAATTATGTGGTATTTGTTGATTGAATTGTGTACCCCCAAAATATTTGTTGAAGGCTATCTTAGTTCATCTGTGGTGCTATAACAAAATACCACAGATTGGGTAATTGATAAACAATAGAAATTTATTCTTGCAGTTCTGGAAGCTGGAAAATCCAAGGTCAAGGCACCAACAGGTTTGGTGTCTGTTGTAAACCTGTTCCTCAGAGATGGTACCATCTAGATGACCTTGCATGGCTGAAGGGACGGAAAGCAAAAAGGGAATGAACACTGTCCTCACATGGCAGAGTGGAAGAGCAAAAACAGCCTAAGCTAATTTCCTCCAGCTCTTTTATAAGATGCTAATCCATTCACAAGGACCTCACCTTTATGCCTTAATCACTTCCCAAAAAAGACCCCATGTCTTAATACCACCACAATGCAGATTAAGTTTCAACATGAATTTTGGACAGGAGACCGTCATTCAAATAATAGAAAAGTCCTAATCCCCAGTTCCTGTAAATGTGTCCTTATTGGAAATAAGGTCACTGCAAGTATAATCAATTTAAGATGAGGTGATATTGAATAGGGTGGACCCTAAATCTAATGACTCAGTGTCCTTAAAGGAGACAGAGACTTGAAGATACAGTGAAGAATTCTTCCCTCAGAGGGAGCATGGTCCTGCTGACATCTTGGTTTCAGACTTCTAGCTTCCAGAACCTGGAGAGAATACATTTCTGCTGTTTTAAGCCACTCATTTTGTGGTAATTTGTTATGGCATCTCTAGGAAACTAATAAGAGTATTTCTTCCAGTTTGTTGACATAGTGAATTTCATCCATTAATTTTTTTCTTTTCAATGTTAAGCATCCCTTGCATTCCTGGTATAAGTCACACTTGATTGTTATCCTTTTTAATTATTGCTGGGTTTAATTTGCTAGTATTGCTTTTTCTGGAGGATTGTTTCTTTTATATTTATGAAGAATATTGGTATACAGTTTTTTTTTTGTTGTTATATATTTGTCTCATTTGGTGTTATGATAAAACTGGCCCCATAAAATGAGTTGGGAAGTATTCATTTTTCTTCTAGATTCTGAGAGATTTTGTAGAGCATTGTTATCATTTCTTCTTTAAATGTATGATATAATTATCTAGTGAAACCATCTGTGCCTAAAGTTTTGTTTTGTTTTGTTTTTTTGGTTGGGGTCTTTAAAATGCAAATTTTACTTATTTAATAGAACTATTTAGGCTATTTATTTCTTCTTAAGTGAGTTTTAGAAGTTTGTGTTTTTCAAGGAATTTGTCCATTTCATCAGATTGTTAAGTTTATAAACATAGAATTGTTTGTGATATTTATTTATTATTTTCTGAATGTCTGTGGTAATGATAGTAATCATGATGGCCCCTCTTTCATTCCTGAGGGTAATATTTCATTTCTTCTCTCCTTTTTTCTTAGTCAGTCTAGATAGAGGTTTATTGATTTTATAGATTTTTTCAAAGAACCAGTTTTTTATTTCATTAATTTTCTCTATTGTTTTATTGATTTTGCTCTTTCTTTCCTTTGGTATGTTTTGGGTTTAATTTCTCTTTTTCGAGCTTCTTAATGTAAAAGTGTATTCAATTTAAGACCTTTCTTCTTTTGCAATATAAATATTTAAGGCTATAAATTTCCCTCTAAGCATTTTCTTTAATGCATTCTGCATATTTTGATATGTTGTTTTCATTTTTATTTTAATTCAAAACATTAAAAAATTTTCCTTGTGTCTTTGTCTTTGTCCATGGCTATTTCAAAGTATGTTGCTTAATTTCTAGATATTTTTCTTTTATTGATTTCTACCTAAATTTCATTATGATCTGAGAATGTACTTTTTATGACTTTAAGTCTTTCAAAGTTTTTAGATTTGTTTTGTGACTCAGAATATGTTATATATTGTCAAATGTTTCATGTGCACTTGAAAAGAATGTGTATTCTCCTGTCGTTGGGTGGAGTATTCTAAAAATTTCAGTTAGGTCAAGTTGGTTGGTGGTGGTGTACAAGTCTTTTCTATCCTTATTGATATTCTGTTTAACTGTTCTATTAAATACTTAGAGAATGTGTTGAAGCCTCCCATAATTGTAGATTTCTTTATTACTCCTTTCAGTTCTATTATTCTTTGTTTCGTGCATTTTGAAGCTCTTTTATTAGTTGTATATACATTGAGGATTTTTATAGCTTCTTGGTGAATTAATCCTTTAATGTTATTTTAAGTCACTATTGCTTGAAATATTCATTGTTCTGACTTCTACTTTGTCTAATATTAATATAATAACCTTATTTGTTGTTTTATATCAGTTTTCTTTTCCATGGTGTATCTTTTTCCATTCTTTTGCTCTTAGTTTATCTCCCTATGTTTAGAGAGCATAAAATTGAGTTTTACTTTTATATCCAATCTGACACTCTTTGTCTTTTAATTGGTGTGTTTAGACTGTTTATATTTAATGTAATTATTATATTATTAAAATCTAACATCTTGCCATCTTAATTTCTGGTTTTCTATTCTATGTGCTATTTGTTCTGTTTCTTTTTTTCTTTTTTTTTTTGAGATGGAGTCTCACTCTGTCGCCCAGGCTGGAGTGCAGTGGCGCTATCTCGACTCACTGCAAGCTCCGCCTTCTGGGTTTATGCCGTTCTCCTGCCTCAGCCTCCCGAGTAGCTGGGACTACAGGTGCCTGCCACCATGCCTGGCTAATTGTTCTGTGTTTTTAGTAGAGACGGGGTTTCACCGTGTTAGCCAGGATGGTCTCAGTCTCCTGACCTCCTGATCTGCCTGCCTCAGCCTCCCAAAGTGCTGGGATTACAGGCGTGAGCCACCGCGCCCGGCCCCTCTGTCTTCTTTTGGATTAATTCTTTTTTAAGATTTCATTTTATCCACTATAGGCTCATTATTTATCTTATAATTTTTTTTTTTTTTTTTTTTTTTTGAGATGGAGTCTTACTCTGTCACCAGGCTGGAGTGCAGTGGCGCGATCTTGGCTCACTGAAACCTCCACCTCCTGGGTTCAAGTGATTCTCCTGCCTCAGGTGTGCGCCACCACGCCCAGCTAATTGTTGTAGTTTTAGTAGAGATGGGGTTTCACCATGTTGGCCAGGATGGTCTCGATCTCTTGACCTCATGATCTGCCCGCCTCGGCCTCCCAAAGTGCTGGGATTACAGGCGTGAACCACCGTGCCTGGCCTTAAAAAGTATTTCTTTTGTCCCCTGTCTTCATCTCTCTTCCCTTTTTGGAATCTCAGTAACAGGTATGTTAGACTGTTTGTTATTTTCTCACAGATTTTGGATGCTTCCTTTTCCTCCTCTTTCTTTTTTCACTCTGTTTTTCTATTAGTGTTTCAGTTTGGGTAAACTGATTCCTCAGCTTGTGTCTATTCTATTGATGAGGCTATTGAAGACATTCTTTATCTCTGTTACTGTGTTTTTTTTTTAGCAATTTCATTTCATTTTTTCTTATAGTTTTCATCTCTGTGATAAAATCACACATCTGTTCAGGCGTGCTGTGTACTCTTTCTGCTAAAGGCCTGAATATATTAATTAATATTATTTTAGCTTTTCTAGATGATAGTTCCAACATCTTGGTCATATTTGAGTCTTGTCTTATTGATTACTTTATCTCTTATCAGTGATTTCATTTTTAATTTTTTTGTGTGTCATGTGATGTTTGGTTGAAAGTTGTTGCCCTGTGTAAGACAGTGAGAGAGGAGAAAGGGAAAAATCCCAGTCAGGTAAGCAGTTAGGGTATGTCTTTGTTTGAATCCCTTCAAACAAAAGAACAACCTGCAGGCACAGATAAGGGAACTTGCACAGCGGGGCTTACCTAAGACATGCCCACAGCCACACAGATAAAAAAGGCTATACAAGTGACTTGCCCAGACATACCTGCAATGGAAAACTCCATACCCTGACATATGAGTAGTAAGGCGAACAAAGCAGTATAGAGTAACTAAAGCTAAGCACCCACATGCACATTAGGATGTGGTGGACCTTCATGCCTTATGCAAATGAGACACCCATCCCTCATTGTTTTTTTATAAAAGCCTTTGCATTCAGCTGTAAAAATGGCAACGCTTTTCCAGGCTCCTTTTCTGTGGCAAAGAGCTTTCTTCTTTTGCTTATTAAACTTTTGCTCCAACTTCACCCTTTGTGTTCACAGTCCTTGATTCTCTTGGTCATGAGACAAAGAACTCTGGGTGATACCTCACAAGAGACTGCTTGTGGTGCATTGTTGAGACTGTAACAACAGTAGTGACTGACGTAAACAATATTTATTCTTGCAAAGAGTTGACCTTTTCCTTTGCTAGATCATTAGTTTTGGGGGTTGAGTCAATCTAGTTAAGAGTGGAGCTGGGCTTGGGTTTTGTTGTTTTAATCGTTATCCCCAGAGCACTTTATCATTTAAATTCTTCTGGTGTTACCCCATGCTTATTGAGGTGACTGTTTTGCCAGAGGTTAGGTCTCCATTTGTACATACATCTTAGAGAGTATTTTCCATGCTCTTGCTCCTCTTCCAATACTAGATTTATATTAATTCTTGCTTGATAGTCTCATGATGGGGGATGTAGAGGGCATTCTTTGTTTTTCTTGTTTAGCCCAAATCTTAGGTGTTGTAACATTAAATCTTGGTGAGAGGACATCCTCAGTAATTATATCCCTTCCTCAGGGGCAGAGAATCTCTAATGATTAGGGTCCAGTACATTTCCCTGGTCCCCTTCCAAGGTTAAAAGTGTTTTGGGGGGAGTTCCCTTCTGTTGAGGGCTAAATTGTGCTCCCTCTCCTAACTTCATATGTTGAAGTCCTAACTCCCAGTACCTCAGATTGTGACTATATTTGGAGATAGGGCCTTTAAAGAGGTAATTAAGTTAAAATGAGGCTGTTAGGGAGGGCCTTATTCTAATCTGATTTGTATTTTTATAAGAAGAGGAAATTTGGACACAAAAAGAAACACAAGGGGAGCTCACACAAGAGGAGAGACCACGTGAGGACACAACAAGAAGATGGTCATCTGCAAGCCTAGGAGAGAGACTTCAGAAGAAATCAAATCTCCTGACTCCTTTGTTTTGAACGCTAAGCCTCCCGAACTGTGAGAAAATGCATTTTTGTTGTTTAAGCCACCTACCCTGTGGTGTTTTGTTATGGCAGCACTAGCAGACTCATACACACTCCCCAAGCTATAATGAATCCTCAGTTCTGGCCTGAGAGTGACAGGGAAGGTTTTGCTGCTCTCCTCTCACTGGCTGAAGACTTCTGTTTCTTTGAGGAGAGAGGGAAGAAGAACCCAGGTAAGGCTTTATGCATACCTTTCTTTAGATTTCAGGTTAATTGGTTGCCCAGAGACCTCAGCTTCCAAGAAGTTGTTAATTTGCAGATTATGTGGCTTTTCTGTTGTTACAATGGTGGAAGGGATGGTCTTTCCAGCTTTCTACAACCTGAGTAGAAGCCAGAAGCCAAAGTCATTCTTTTAAGATGTAAATCAAATCACATCACTCCTTTGCCCAAAACTCTCTCATCTCTTTCCAGTTCTTTCAGAGAAAAAGAAAGTCCTTTAAAAATCTGCAAGGCTCTGCCGGGCGTGGTGGCTCAAGCCTGTAATCTCAGCACTTTGGGAGGCCGAGACGGGCGGATCACGAGGTCAGGAGATCGAGACCATTCTGGCGAACACGGTGAAACCCCGTCTCTACTAAAAATACAAAAAACTAGCTGGGCGAGGTGGCGGGCGCCTGTAGTCCCAGCTACTCGGGAGGCTGAGGCAGGAGAATGGCATAAAAACCCAGGAGGCGGAGCTTGCAGTGAGCTGAGATCCGGCCACTGCACCCCAGCCTGGGCGACACAGCGAGACTCCATCTCAAAAAAAAAAAAAAAAAAAAAAAAAAAAAAAAAAAATCTGCAAGGCTCTAGAGCAGTGATTGTCAATTCTGGCTGCACATTAGAATCACCTAGGGAGCTATTAAATTATCTGTGCCTGGGTCTCACCTCCCAGAGATTCTGATTTAATTGGTCTGGGGCAAGACTCTATTATCTTCTCCCACCCCAAAGGCTTCTCAGATGCCTCTGATAAGCACTCTGGGTTGAAAGACATTGTCCTTTACCTTCATGCTCAAGACACAGCCATTAGCAGTTGTGGCGTAGTATAGGAGCTTGTTATAAAGGGAGAATCTTATATCTGTGTTTTAACATGTTACTCGGATGATTCATGTGCACATTGCAGTTGGAGAAGCGTAGCACACAGAACCTTACTCCCCACCCCATGTTCTCTCTCGGAACTCATCGCCTGCTACTCTGCCTCTTGACAACCCCACCTGGTTGGACCGGCCTCCTTGGCTTTTCTTGAACCTTTCAGGCAGATTCCTGCCTTGGGGATCTTGCACTGTTTGTTCACTTTATCATTTCTTCCAGACAGCTGCATGACTAGTTCCCTCATTTCCTCAGTGAAGCCTTCTCTGACCACCTCCCCACCTTCCACTTTCCTCTCTCTCTCTGTTTCTCTCTCCATAGCACTTATCACCTTCTCACACATTGCAGTAATTTCCTAGGGCTATCATAAAAAATTATCACAAACTATATGGCTTAAAGCAACAAAAATGTGTTCTCTCAGTCTTAGAGGCCAGAAGTCTGGAATCCAGGTGTGGGCAGGGCTGGTTCTTTCTGGAAGTTCTGGGAGAATCTGTCCCAGGCCTCTTTCCTAGTTTCTGGTGGCTGCTGAAAATCCTTGGCATTTCCTGGCTTGTGGAGGTATTGCTCCCATCTCTGCCTTCATTTTCTCATGATTTTCACCTCTGTGTGTCCATATGTGTCAAATTCCCCTCTTTATCTTATAAGGAAACCAGTTATGGGGTTTAGACTCCTTAGCATTTCTTGCTTTGTGGAGACATTGCTCTCATCTCTGCCTCCATCTCACATGGTTTTCGCCTCTGTGTGTCTGTATGTCTGAAATTCCCCTCTTCTTTATAAGAAAACCAGTTACGGGATTTAGACTCACTCTAATTCCAGTATGATCTCATCTTGAGATCCTTGATTGAATGACATTTCCAAAGATGTAAGTTCCAAATAAGGTCCCATTCACGGGCACCAGAGGTTAAGACTTGGTCATATCTTCTAGGGCCACTATTCAACCCACTACATATACCTAATAAATGTACCTATTTATTTGCTTGTAATCTGTATTTCCACATTAGAAGGAAATCTCCATGAGGGTAGGGCATCTTGCCTGTTGCGTTCACTTGACTGCTTTACTCGGCACCTAGAATAGTAGCAGGTACATAGTAGTGCTGGATAAATCTTGGACTGATGACTGAGTGCATCTTATTTCTTCCTGCTGCAGCATCAGGCATGGCTGTTTACCTCTTTTATTTCCAAAATCCTCTTCTTTGGTTTCCGAGACTTCCTCGCTCTCCTTGTTTCTCTTCTGCCTTCTCTGGTTGTTCCTTCCCAGTCTCCATGGTTGGAGACTCTTCTTTTACTCAATCCTTCACCGGTGTGTCCCTGATCCTCTTTTCTACTCACTGGATTTTCTCGTCCCAGCAACTCACTTCCACGGTCAGTCACTTCCTGGATGCAGATTACCCACATTTCCTGGTTTCCATCCAGCCTTTCTTCTGAGCCCCATTTCCAGTTTCCCTTTTTATCTGAACACCCCACAGGCACCTTATGATGAAGGTACCCAACACTTGAACACATTGTTTTTTTCCTCCAAACCTGTCCTCGTTCCTTCCAGGGGTCAGTACTACCAGCATCCCAGTCACCAAAGGCAGAAGCCTGGGATGCTCTTGATTCTCCTTCGTCCCATCCCTCATCAGGCCCTGTCCATTTTTTCTCTTAAAGACCCCTTGGATATGTCCACTTCTTTCCTTCCCCAAGCCACAGTTCAGCCATTACCAGTCTCTCTTTGTCTCCCTGCTTCTTTAAAAGTAAAATGGCTCTGTTCCTTCTAAGAACGTAACCCTGCCCTGACCCAAGAGGCTCTGCATTGCTTCCAGGCACAACTGATCATTGACCTCCCTGGGCTTTAACCTCTCCAGGCCCCTCTCCTGAGCCCTGCTCCTTGCCTTGTGGTGTCCAGCCACACTGACCTTGCAGTTCTCCACATTCACCAATTTCATAGGCTGGAACAGAGGGGGCGGGGAAGCAGACCACCCTATCAGAGCACTTCCTCGTGTTTGCGTCTCCACCTACCTGCCTGCTTCGTGGTCCCCTCAGCCCTGGAAAACTGTACTAAAGGCTGTTTGGATTGAGAACATTTAAAAAAGAGAAAAAAGTCTTAACATTTGGAGGAGGGAGAATCATCTCCAAGAGAGACTTTGGGCTCCATGTTACTCTCAGGTTGTGGCAGCTTCTTGGAGAACTTCCATTCTGTCTCTGCTCTTTGGCGTTAATTGTTGGGATCGATGCCGCAGCAATTATATAATGTTTACTGCAGCCACCACAGAGCCGAGGCTTAAGTGTTGCTAAATGTCACTTTCACGCTCCCCAGGGTATGGTGTGTAATTATAACGGGTTCACTAACTTCTTTGTGAAGAAGGCAGATGCTTTTAGCCTGAAAAGGAGAATAGAAATGCATTTTCTCTAAACATAAAAGAACACTCATTTCCAGAGAGATCCTGGACTGGAGGGACAGGAGCATGACCTGGGCTGTCCATCATGAATGATGGGGCCCGCCGGGAGCGTGCTCCTCTCCTAAAACATGCAGGACCCACAACTCCTCCTCTCTGCCAGGCTGGCTGGGGCTTCCGGGGAGCTCAAGATCAAATCCGGAGGCAAAGAGACAGAAGAACTAAAAATCAGAGTGACCGCCAATGCAGCTATGAAACAGGTGGCAACAGGTATGAAAAGAAGCTTGATGCAGGAAAGAGAAGTGGCTGGAAGCCACACAGTTTGGGGCTTGTACTTAGCCGTGTGCTTTGGATAATCACATTGACTCTGATTTAATTTTTGTCATCTGTCAAGTGGCAATAATAAATCCTGCCTGACTTACTTCAGTTAAATTCCATTCTACAGCTATTTAGTGAGTGCCTGCTATATTTTAGGCATGGGAGGATGCAGCAGTGCGCACATTTGACGTGGCTCCTGCCTTCCAGCAGCTTGTAGTCTAGAGCAGAAGTTGGCAAACCATGATCCACAAGCCAAATCTGGCCCATGGCTTGGTTTTGTACAACCTGTTAGCTAAGAATGGATTTTACAGTTTTAAAGAGTTGGAAAAAAAAAAAACAACAAGAATATGCAATAACAGAGCATATGGCCTATAAATCTAAGATACTTATCTGATCCTTTACAGAAAAATTTGCTGATACCTGCTCTAGAGCTGTTCAATACAGAAGCCACTGTCACGATTAAGCACTTGAAATGTGGCTCATAAATTGAGATACGCTGTAAGTGTAAAATGCATATTGGATTTCAAAGACTGTAGGAAAAGAAAATGAAAAATATCCCAGTTTAAATTTTTTATATTGATTACATGCTAAAATGATATTATTTTGGATATAGTGAATTAAATAAAATATAGTATTTACATGAATTATACTTGTTTCTTTTTACTTTTTAAAAATGTGGTGTTAGAATATTGAAAATCACATTTGTGGCTCACATAATATTTCCATTGGATAGCACTGATCTAGATGGGTGTCCTGCTGCATATTAGTGTGTTATCCGGGCAAATGATTGAACTCAGCCTCAATTTTTCATTTCTAAAATGGAGGGCAGTCGTAACAGCTAATTGATAGGGTTGTTCTGAGGCTCAAATGAAATAATCTATGGAAAGCACTCTGTGAGATGCAAATTGTTATACACGTGTAACTGGTTTTGCAGCTCTGTTTCTTAGCTACGTGCTTTGGGTAAGTCACATTGACTCTGATTTCATTTTTTTGTCATCTGTCAAGTGGGAATAATAAATCCTGCCTGACCTACTTCAGTTAAATTACATTTCACAACTGTTTAGTGAGTGCCCTACTATATTTTAGGCTCTGAAGGATGCAGTGGCGCACACATTACATGTGGATCTTGCCTTTCATGAGCTTATAGTTTAGAGCAGAAGTTGGCAAACAATGACCACAGGCCGCATCTGGCCCCAGGTTTGTTTTTGTACAACCTGTCAGCTAAGAATGGATTTTACGTTTTTAAAGGGTTGTAAAATAAGAGGAGAAGAAAAAAGAATTTGCAACAGGATATATATGTGGCCTGTAAATCTAAGAGATTTATCTGATATTTTCTGGGAATGCAGAAAGCTATTTAGGGACCCGTTGCCTGTTACGGAATCTCTGTGTACTTGCGTCAGGGCTGATGGTGTTTCTGCCATTCGTCACTCCTCTCTCCCAGTTCTCACATGCTCCTCTGTGCCCTCTTCCCTGCTGCTTGACTCTCAAGCTCCTTATAGAATTGGTTCCAACATTTAGAGTTGCTCTTTCCTGCTGGAGTACCTGCATTTGACCCTGGAGACACAAAACTTCAAAATCCTCATGAACACATGTTTAGAGAAAGACGTTGTATTAGGAACCAGGAAATCTGGGTTAATGGCCATAAAAACCCAAACAGTAACTAGCATTAAGGTCTTGCCACATGTTTTACACGTATTACTTCATCCAATAAAATAGCAATAGTAGGAGGACCTTATATTTCCATTTTATAAGTGAGGAAATTGAAGCTCAGAGAGGTAAAGGGACTTTCTCAGGAGCTCTCATCTGGTAGGTGGCTGGGCCTGGGCCTGAACCCAGATCTCTGGCTCCAAGTATAATGCTCTTCCCATGGCTTCAGAGGTCATTCAAGGTACTCTGCCTGACCTTGAGTGAGGATTGAGGCAGGTGAGCAATGCAGTGCTGTCTGGAGGAGTCAACATGGGGCAGTGGATGCAGCGCTGGCCCAGGAGTCTAGTCCCAGGGCTGCCACTTATTAACTGGATCAAGTCCCTTCCATCTCAGGGCCTTGATATTGTCATCTGTAGGTAGGTGGCACTGTCATCTCTCAGGTGCTCTTAGTCCTTACATTCCAAGAATTATGATGTGAGGCCAACTGCAGGGCCTCCCCATGCCAGCCCAGGGACCAGCTACCTCAAGATCATGTGAGAAGAGGTCTTAAAATGCAGGTTCCTGGGCCCCATTCTGAAATGCCTCCTTCAGTGAATGTGGAATAAGCATCTAGAATCTGTGTTTGTGAAAGCTTCTGTTGAGTTTCCAGGTTTATAAACTACTGAGTCAGAGGTGTGGCTCTTACTAGGACTTTGAAATTAGCACATTGGAAGCAATGGTCTCCAAGTGTCTTTGTCTCATACCTCCCAGCTAGTTCAGATGCTAGTGACAAATTTTGAAGTATAACTGGGATCTGATCACTTCTCACCACCTCTATTGGCTGCTATCGCTGTCCAAACCACCATGATCTGCCCAGACTACTGCAGAGAGGCGGCGCAGCATCGCAGGGCAGAGGCAGACGACCTGGGTTCAAAATCTGCCTCTATCCCTTTTTTAACCTCTCTGTGCCTCAGCACCTCAACTATGAAGTGGACATACTAAAAGGTGTCTTTTGTTGTTGTAAGCATTATTTGAGTTAATATACAATAATACATGACATAGTAAGCCCTCAATACATAATGCAGATAATTATAGAATGGCATCCTAGCTATTGCCTATTTCTAGCCTTTGGATTCATTTCCCACCCAGCTACCAGAGATGTTTAATAATGTAAATCAAATTATGTCACTGTCTAAATCGCCAACTGTTTCCAATTCCCCATCAGACCCAGGATGAAATCCAAAGGCATTTCTTTGGTCTATGAGCCCTTACTCACCTATTACCCCCTCTTTCCCTTAAAGACTTTATTCTAGCCAGATTGGTTTTCTTGCTGTCTCGCAAACACACCGAGAGCCTCTTGGTCCCTGGATCTGTGCATTAGCGCTACCTGTTTATGGCCTGACATTATATTATACATTTGTTTAAGCCATCTGTCTCCCCAGCTAGATTGGAAATCCCATGAGGGTAGAGAATACACATGTCTTGTTCACTTTACTATCCCCAATGCCTAGAACAGGGCCTGGAACATAGCAGGAACCTAGTAGATATTTGCTGGGTGAAGGAATGAATGAGCCCACACCCTGTTCCTCCCACCTGCCCTTGCCTTCCACCTTGTGAGCTCTCACTTGCTTTTTTTTTGCTTCGACCTCTCCCAGCTCAGACTGCTCTGTGGTGGGTGGCCTGAGCTCTGTGGTTTATCAAGGCATAGGGGGATTATTTTCCTGGAAATTATAACTGGAAATACACATTGGTGTTGTGCTATGTTGTGTGCACTAATAAATTACGTGGAGGAATAAATATTTCTGGGGATTCAAGTTGTCCAGCCAGGCCTTTTATCTTCCCTGTCAGGAGGGAGGGGATCATTTAATTATCCCCTTACTCTCTCATAGCATCACAGGCAGGAGGCCGCTGGAGGTGCTACAAGGCTTCTATCACACATCTGATTTTTCATTTGATCAATAAATCTCTCTCTTGAACCTGGCCATCTGTATTTAATGTATCCTGGGAGTGGGTTAATTAAGCACTGAATTAGATGGCCTCTTCATAGACAGCTTATGGTCTAGATTTTTCCCTGTGACCCATGGAATTTCTTTCCATAGGAAATAAATTTGAGCTCAGTTCCTTGAGCCGTGAGATGGCAGATGCCAGTCATTCATTTTCCTGGTTTCCTCTGTTGCTTGTGCCAACTTCTTAGGCTTCCTTTTCTGCCGTTACTTCTCTTAGGCTCTTGCTTAACCCCCTAAAGCTTGCATTAGTAAAATCAAAATCAAACTATTAATCCATCTCATGGTTGTGGTCAAGATTCAAGGTGCCACTCTGGTAAGTTTTTATCATACGGAGTGCATAGGGTGATATACAAAAGTATTTACTCACTAGTGTGTCCAGTTGGTCAATCTGAGCACTGCTGGCAGGGGCCTAGGGCAGGTTGGTCAGCCTGCAGTTGCTGGAGTCTGGGGAGGCCTGAGGAGCCTAGAGGTGGGGTGGGTGGTCAAGTGATAGGAGCCTTTGTTGGGCTCTGTGAGCTGATGTTTATAACTAGCATGATGTGTTTCAATATCATAACAATGGGCGTGGCTCTACTGCAGAGTCCTGGCTAATAGTCAGCTGGCCCTGGTGCCTAGCTCCTTAGAGGCACCCACCTGCCCCCGGGACATGCATGTCAGACACCAAAGAATGAAGAGGCTTCAGCACATGCGCTCCCATTGTGGTTTTGGCTCTCTTGACTTCCGTTTCTTGTTCCTGGTTTTGTCCTACATCTGACTTACCTGCTATCAACCTTCTGATTTACTCTCCCACCTGGGTTGGATTTGACACTCAGCACCACTCTATAGCTATGGCCTGTCTTCCATGGACAAGTGGGTCTGGTTCTCCATCCAGGCTCTGGGGCTTCAGGCCACTTCATCCAGATAACCCTTTTGCTTGTCCTGGTCCTGGGGCCCTCCATTCGCCAGATCTAAATTTCCAGGCTTATCTGGTCTCATGAACAATAAAGATCTCTGCTTGTTCAAGCCTTGCTAGTTGTCCAAGGCAAAGTCCACCTTGAAGCTGCCTCTTCTGAAAAGTTTTCTCTGCCATCCCCAATTGTGTAAATGGAAAAAAAACAAAAACAAAAAACCCAGTTACCACCCTTCCCACGCCGCCGTAAAAGCTATGCAGTCCAAGGCAGGACGTGATATGTGGTAGACATAAATGCTCCAGGAGTTCAGGAGAGTGGGGGAGATGCAGAGCCTGGGATTTCAAAGAGTTAGACAGATCTGGAAGTGACTCTTGGTTCTGCTCCTTATTGGTTGTGTCATTTCGGGCAAGCTGAACTTGGTGAGCTCTGTCGTTTCCTTTTCTATGAAACGGAGGCTCCTTGTGAGGGTTAAATCAAACAATATTTGTAAAATGTGTAGCACAGGTGTTAAAAAAATGGTGCCTGGCTGCCTGTTGTCCCATGTCCCATTCTAGTTTCTTCCATGAGAGGCAGTGTGGTATGGTGGCGAGAGGATAGGCTTTGGAATCCCGACAGATCAGAGTTCACATGCTTATTCCTTGATCAAAGAGCTGAGACTCCTGATCAAAGAGCTGACACGTCCTTCTGAGTCCCATGTTGGTAGGACAGGGCCACTCCCACTTTCCCCAGGGAACTTGTGGGAGTGTTTAATGAGATAAAGGGTGCCAAGTGCCCAGGACAGTGGCTGGTATACAGTAGGCATCCCACAGTGCTGGTTCCCTTTCTTTCCCGTCTTCTCATTGATGAGCAATTTGTGGTCGCAGTGATGAACAAAGGAACATGGATCCATTTATTTGATAAGAAGTAATTTTCTGTCCTCATTTTGTTTTTCAATCTGGCATTCAGGTACTAGAGGAAGCAGAATTATTGGAGAACTGTCTTGTTTTCAGAAACATTAGATAAATTAGCT